AAAAGGAGTTTTTTTCAATGATTTTTTATGAGCATCGAAATTTGCATAGCTAAGTTGATAAATTTAGCATTTTTAACCAAAAAATAAAATAAAACTTATGAAATTAAGGTTTTGTTTTGGACAACTTTCTTCATTGTCGACTGATAAATATTTGATTAGGGGTATAAGTGAGTCAAGTTGACTCGTGAGCTGAATCGGGCTCGGCTCGATAAATGGCTCGTGAGCCAAGCTTGATCAGCTAATGAGTCTAGCTTGACCAATTGCGCTAGCTCTGACTCGTAAGCTCGTGAGCCGAGATGTCTAAAAAATATTCATATAAAATATATTAGAATTTAGGATTTTAAATACAAAGTTATTAAAAATATTTTAAAAATTATATCATTACTTTTTATATTAAGTCATTCTTTATTATTTTTCTTATAATTTCTCATTATTTTTCCCATTTTATTATAATAAATCACTTAAATCATAATCATTTTCACTCTTTTATAATAAATAAGCTGGCTCGTGAGCCGGCTCGAACTCGTAGAATAAAGCTCGACCTCGATTAATTAATCAAGCTCAAAGTCAAGCCAAAGATATATGACTCGATTACACCCCTAAATTATTCGACACTAAAATCCCAGTAGGAATGAATTACCAAAGATAATATACGGTTGAAAATATTTTATTGCGGAAAATCGAAAATTATTTCGAAGGAAATACCGGCCGAAAGAAATTCATTGCAAAAAAACAAAAATTCCAACAAGTTACCTGCACATAATTGATCGTTGGAAATATTGACGTGTTTTTGGCAGTCAAAATTGCTAGAATTTCTAATGGATTAGAACACTGGTAATTTTGGCAATAGCAGTCCTCTAGTATTTTCGGCGAAAATTTTCCGACGGATTCGTGCACCTTCAATCTAACGCCAAAGGGATATTTATAGTCGCCGCAAGCTCCAACTGAACGAAAGATTCAGCAGCTTTTTATGCTAAGTGAACAGTGCGATGTTAATATTGACATCGTACTATTCACAGACGTCATTTTTTCGTCATTTTTTCAGTGTTATATATATTTTTGATGTTATGAAATGAAGTTCGGTTGTAGATGAATTATTATATTTTGTAGTATTATTTATTTTTTGGAGTATAAAATAAGTTTTCAATTGAAGATGATATTATGTCGTCAATATTTATCCAAAACAAACAATCACCATTTTTTTTTATAATTTTGCCAAAACCCTGCATCAAAATTGAAAAGAAAAAATCAAGTAGTTACAGCATTCTCAAAAAAAAAAGAAAAAAAACAAGAAGGCGTGCGCCTTGGCGATTCCGACGCTCTTCCAACATTCTCTTCCAACATACAAGGAATTATGTTTTTCTCAAACGTGTATACAAAACATCCAAACAAAGTTTTCCTAACTATTTATATCAATAATGTAGGAATTATATCTAAAAAAGATCATATATAAGCAATTAAATTATCAAGTAGTTACAGCATTCTCAAAAAAAAAAAAGAAAAAAAAAGTGCATCTCTCTCTGCTAGGGCTCCCGCCTTGGCGATTCCGACGCTCATCGACCGACTGGGGCGTGCGCTCCTCAGTGCTCCAAGGAAGTTTTTTCTTCCCTTGTTCTCTTTTCATGCGTGTTTTTGTATTTCATTTTGATTTCGTTTCGGCGCCTTCGATCTTTCGCACCGGAATGGTGGGGAAACGGTTGTGCGATCCTGGTTTTTTGGATGGATCGTTCAAATCTCGGTCTTTTCTCGAGGCTCTTGCTGGTTGCTCCTCTGTTGGTGGTTTTTCTGACCTCAAACCTTCTTCATTTCGTGGTTTACCATCGCTGTGGATTTCAGAGGATGAAATCAATGCCCTTGCGCTGTCTTTTATATTTTCCTTAAGTGGATTTTTCCCTTCTAAGAGGCCTTCACTAGATTCTATTCGTAGGTTTTTCTTCTCCCTGAAGCTTTCGGGTGAGGTTTCTGTCAATTTAATTGATCAGACACATGTCTTGATCAAGTTGAACAACGACCTTGATTACTGTAGAATTTTATGTCTGAGTAGCCAATGATCCCTATTTGGGTCTCCTTTCCCAATCTCCGTCCTCATTTGTTCTAATTTCTAATTTCTTCATGCAGGTTTGTTGGTTTGTTCGTCTTCTTCCCAGTCTATGGATTTGCCTGCTGCTTCTGGCCTCGGCTAGTTCTTTTGTTGGTTTTCCTTTTCTTTTCTTTGCTTATTGATTGTAATAATTATGATCCGTTCACTTTTAGGTTTTATTTCAAATGTTGTACTTTAGTCAGCTTTTTGATCTTTTAAGGACTTATAACATCTTTTTGAGGATTTTATCAAAAAAAAGTTGCACCATGCAACTAAATTCTTTAACCATTAAGAAATCTTCAGCATAGAATACCTCAATGCTCTTCAAATGCTCGATTCAAATATTCTTTAAATAAAATATAAAAAATGATATATTTTGTTAATATTTGAATAAATGCATACTTTTCAGATTTATGCGTGCTTATAAAATCGCATGAATTATTTGCTTATCAAAGACGGGGGAGCTCTAAAAAGAGATATTTTTCAGAGAGGAGAATAAAGAAAATGTAATAAGTAAGAAATGGGAAGGCATTTCTTTATTTCTTTATAATTTTTCCATTAAATTATATTATTTATAAATTTATTCTTATTTTGTCATTAAATAAAATATTACGTACGGTTGTTCATCTCTTTTTTAGGATAAATTCATTCTCTATTTTATGATTAAATGGAGTTTTTTTCAATGATTTTTTATGAGCATCGAAATTTGCATAGCTAAGTTGATAAATTTAGCATTTTTAACCAAAAAATAAAATAAAACTTATGAAATTAAGGTTTTGTTTTGGACAACTTTCTTCATTGTCGACTGATAAATATTTGATTAGGGGTATAAGTGAGTCAAGTTGACTCGTGAGCTGAATCGGGCTCGGCTCGATAAATGGCTCGTGAGCCAAGCTTGATCAGCTAATGAGTCTAGCTTGACCAATTGCGCTAGCTCTGACTCGTAAGCTCGTGAGCCGAGATGTCTAAAAAATATTCATATAAAATATATTAGAATTTAGGATTTTAAATGCAAAGTTATTAAAAATATTTTAAAAATTATATCATTACTTTTTATATTAAGTCATTCTTTATTATTTTTCTTATAATTTCTCATTATTTTT